TTTTTTTTTACCCAGAATCCCACACGTACGATTTCGTGTATAATAATTTGTATTTACAATTTCTCCAAAACCCGGGACTCTCATTAAATCTCAAAACGTCACATCTACCTCACCCTCCAGTAATTTCTATGAAATTTATTTCCCCAGTACTGCATTAAAAATTCGCCAATAATTATCGAATATCGAATCGGTGAATAAATCTTGAGTTAAAAATTCAGGAAATTCAGGTCCTCGACTTTGACAGGAGGTGCTTTAATCATACTAATGACTGAACATAAATTACTCATCTTTCGGGTGAACTGTGCACATCGGCTGACGAGGGAATTGCGCGATTACAGGCTGTACACAAAACACGAGCCACGAGTCGATAAATCAGCGAGTGAATGACGGGAATTGCGGAATCGAAGAGCTGTACAGAGGGAAATGGACGTATGGGTGCGAGGTGATGTATAAACCGGAAGTTTGAACAACTGTTTGGCGATTCCGCGTGCATTCAACGGCTGTCTCACACCGCCTACATGATTTTTCATTTTTTTTTCATTCGCGTGGGTGGAAACTGGGAGAACAGTATTTATCGTGTCATACTGATTTTTAATGCTAAATAAATTACAATTGTAAACGTCTGAACTGTCATGCAATTGTTCTCGGAATTGCATGTACAAATGTTTATGAATTATTTGAATGATCTGAATCTTTATCGTTTTACTATGGTAAATAATCAATTTTAATTGCAATTCCGTAGATCATAATTGAAGTATTGATCGATTGGGGTGGACGAACCCGGAATAAACGGCGTAAGTCGAATCGTCGCGGTTCGTTGCTTCCAGCCTTGAATAAACATTCACATTGCTATGTATTTGCGCTCACAATTTTTATCCACTTTCCCTCTCCCCTGTTTCTGTTTAACGAACATTAGATATGCGGGACCTCGACATGATCAAACATGTCACGTGAGTAAATTTTCACGTAATGTTTACCCCGTTGTTTGTGCGTCGGGCTAATTTACAAATGGACGGATCGCGCGCTTTTTTAAATTAGGATTGTCCGATCATAATTGTGTCGATGCAATCTCGAGATTTTTATCATTTGAAAAAATTCGTGGACATGCTATGAGGTGTTACGCGGTAAAATGGTGGAATTTTGAATTTCTCTGGAAGTCATTTCCGTTATTCATTAAATTTCGTGGAATTATTGTAATTTCAGATTTTATGGACTGCATTATCTGTCGCCCTCGGTGTAGAATTGAGGGGAGATCTTGTGAGAGGTACTCCATGCATCAAGAAATATCATCAGCTGTTCTGCCCCACTGCTGGCAACACATACCCCATGTGAGCAATTTTTAAAATTGATTTAATATCGATTTAATACCGAGAATACTTAATGATTTGAATTGAGAAAGC